TATGTGGATTCTCCTCATATTGTGTGCCTATCGGAACATCATCTTAATCAGTCAGAGACTGAGGCTGTCCGACTTGACAACTGTACCCTGGGAGCTAGTTATTGTAGGCACTCCATGAAAATGGGTGGTGTCTGTATTTATGTACAACAAAGCCTAAGTTTCTCCAAGTTAGATTTGAGTAGCTACTCCACTGACCAACATTTTGAAGCCAGTGCAGTTTTTTTAACTAATTCTTTTGACTATATTTATATTGTATCAATTTATCGAGCTCCAAGTGGTAATTTTATCCTTTTTTTTAAAAAAATGGAAATTATTCTTAACTTATTATTTAGAGATAATGCCAAAATAATCCTCTGTGGTGACATAAATGTCAATTATTTAACTGACAATAATAAATGGAAGCAAACTGATCAACTATTGGCTATGTATAACTTAACAAGTACAGTGAATTTCCCAACAAGAGTGCAAAATGGCTCTGCGACGGCAATAGATAACATATTTGTGGATGCCTCTCTGCTGGGGAATTATGAAATATGTCCTATATTTAATGGACTCTCTGACCACGATGCTCAATTAATTGTTTTAACAGAGGTTAAAGCTCATATTAAGAAGGGTAGCGTAAGGTGTGGGAAAATGATTAGGAAAATTGACCAGGCCACTGTGCAGGACTTTAAATACAATTTGAGTTTTGAAACTTGGGACACAGTTTTTGGTATTGATGATATAATTATAATGTATAATTCCTTTCTAAAATCATTTCTTAGAATATTTTATTCTAGTTTCCCCTTAAAAAGACAGGGAATTAAACTTCATAATAATTCATGGACTACCCTAGGTATAGATATTTCCTGCAGGCATAAAAGAGACCTTTATTTATTATACAGGAGTACCAATGATGTGGTTTTTAAGAATTATTACAGGCAGTATTGTAAGATATTAAAAAGTGTTATAAGAGAAGCCAAAAAGAAGTATTATAGTAGTCAGGTATTAAAATCTAGTAACAAAATAAGAACTATCTGGAATATTACTAAATCTGTAACTGGGAGGTCAACTAAAGAAGATACAATACAGGAACTAAAAGTTAAAGGGGAGCTTATTAGAAATAAGCAAGATATTGTCAACTCCTTAAATAGTATTGTGACATGTTGCGCAACGAAGGACCCCTACCTCCCCAGCGGCACGTGGCGGTAACGTAGCGCTCGCGTAATAGGCGAGTCATCACCCCGCAACACTCCCCGCGGTGACATCATGAGCGGAGCCGAAGTTAGCCGAGCCCCCGCAACCTGGTAGCTATGCAACGCGAGTCAACAGCGGTGACGTAACAGGATGACGTGGCACTCATTACGCAACAGGCAAGCACTGCGGCTATATAAGTGAGCTGCACAGCGGCTGCGAGTCAGTTGTAATGTGAGCAGTCGCCGAGTTAAGTAGTAGTCGAGAGAGTGTGTTATCAACAGTTCTCCAGTCAGCCGACGACAGTTGGAGTATAGCAGCCGTCGCAGAAAGAAGAACCGGACGTGTGTGTAATTGTGTAATTGGGAGTGTGTGATACAGTGAAACATAGCTCCCCTACTGTAAACGTGTAGACTACTGAAGACAGTGTGAACTGATTTGCGCATAGGGTTATAAATCGTGAAACCCCGCAACAGTGTTAACAGATTAATGCGATTAGGGTTATAAAGTGTGAAACCCCGCAACTGTGTGATAAGTAATTGTAGCCGTTACTTGTAGATTGTTAAATAAACCAATTAACGATCTCTACAGCGTATTCAGTAACCGACTAAACACGTTACAGTATATTTTTAACTATGGCTGAGAATAACATAAGTAAAAATTTTAAAACTAATATTGAGCCATTAGACTATTTGCAGTCAGCATTTGAACATCCTTTTCCTAGTATTAAATACCAGGCGGCAACAACGACTGAGTTATATAAAATTATTAAAACTTTGAGAACAAAAAGATCACATGGTTATGATGAAATATCAGTTGAAGTCCTAAAAATTAGTGCTCCATTTATCATTTCTCCGTTAACGTTTATTTGTAATAAAATGCTGTCTACCGGAAATTTTCCGGACAGGTTAAAATACGCTGAGATTAAGCCCTGTTTTAAGGATGGGTGCAAGAATGACCCCTCTAATTATAGACCCATTTCTCTCTTGACTTCCTTTTCGAAAGCATTTGAGAAGATTATTTTGGCTAGACTAAACCAACATATTCATGACTATAATATTATAGCTAATGAACAGTTTGGATTTAGAAGTCAATCTTCAACAACTATAGCTTCTTATGTGTTAATAAATGAAATATTAGAAGCATTAAATAAGCGGAAAATTGTAAGTGGAATCTTTTGTGACTTAAAGAAGGCATTTGACAGTGTCAACCAGGAGATTTTATTGAAGAAACTTCAATTTTATGGAATACGAGGCAAATTTCTCGACCTGATCACATCCTATTTATCAGACAGAAAACAGAGAGTATTAATAGCCAGCACTGACTTTGATCATGCTGCTAGATCTAACTGGGATACTGTAAGATACGGAGTCCCACAAGGGTCCGTCCTTGGTCTGCTTCTTTTCCTTTTTTATATAAATGATCTCCCCACAATTTTCAACGATTCAGTTAAATCAGTATTGTATGCAGATGATACAAGCTTAGTCATTAGCAGTTGGAATAATAGCCAGTATAGTAAAGACGTTAATACCTCTTTCACTTGTCTTAATGAGTGGTTTAGTACAAACAGGTTGACCTTAAATTTTAAGAAAACTAAACATGTTCAATTTGAGGCAAAGCCTAGAACAAATAATGTAACTTCTATTCGATATTGTAATAATGAGATTTTAAAGGATATAAACATGAAATTTTTGGGGATTGTTATAGAAAGATCGTGCACTTGGAAAGCTCATATAACTCAGCTTAGGCCTAAATTATGTAAGGCTTGTTATTCAATGAGGGTGATTAAACCCATCTTGCCCACTGAGACATTAAAAACGGTGTATTATTCCTACTTTCATTCACTATTGAGCTATGGAATTATTTTTTGGGGTAATTCACCCCTTAGTGCGCATATTTTTAGAATTCAAAAGAGTATAATTAGAGTCATGAGTGGGCTGAGACCTAGAGACTCTTGTAGAGAGGCATTTATAGAATGGCAAATATTGCAGTTGCAGTCGCAATATATTTTCTCATTATTGATGTTTGTTGTGAATAATATGGGCTTGTATCATAAGTCAATGCAAATTCATGGCCTGAAAATGAGGCATAATTTTGGTCTCTATTGTCCTCAGGCAAATTTAACAATTTACCAGAAAGGTCCTTATTATTCTGGCATTAAACTTTTTAACCATCTTCCATTGAAGATTAAAGAATTGGTCTGTGATATTAAGCAATTTAGAGTGGCTTTACATGCCTTTTTACATTGTAAATTTTATTATACTTTGGATGAATATTTTAACTAGGATTGTTATTGAGTGTTTATGTTATTTATTTATATTTAAATTATAATGTAATTATATTGTAAATGTGATGTAACTGTAGTACATATAAGGGTATTAAGTTAATATCATGTTAATATTGTTGTATATATATATATTATCTAGCGACTACCTGCTACTTAGCAGGCTTGTTGAGAGACCGGTTCTGTTTCCAAGGGCTTCGGCCATGTATGGATGTGTTGGAGCGTGCAAATAAATACAATATAATACCAACTGCTAGGCAACAGATTCCTGACAAGCAACAACTGAACTACAACAACAAGGTGTTTTCTGCACAGTCTGTGGTGGGGGGTCCATAGGTGGGACAAAGTTTAGAGTTTTGTCATTTGTGGGACATTTGCCAGCAGTAACGACATAAGCAGAGGACACTGTTTGCATCCATTATGAAGGAAAACTAGTGAAAGCTTGGTAAACATGTTCCTGTGGCAAATGAATACATATGCAACAATAGCAGAACAGTGTTTTCTATGTGGTCTATGCCAAGAAGTCATAACCAGGACAGTCAGAGCAATCAGCTGAGTTCTGTTCTGCAAGAGAGACTGAGAAGAGATGGCGCTATTATTAAGTGGAATTAACAGTTGTGGGGTGTTAGCCAGCAGGCAATGGCATGACCACAGAAGTTGAAGGATCTCCAATGTTAAGAGGTGTTACCAAGCAATGACTAGTGAAGACACTGCAGGCTGGAGAAGAAATGATTTGTAAAGCGTGAAAATCAGCAACTGTGTTACAGTTATTCGCAGTTACGACATCTATCTCCTTTCACTACTTTCAGGATTACCACAGTAGGAATTACATCCTCATATTCTGCACATATAACAGTCTTATTTACAGAATATGAACATAAAATTTTATTTAAATTATAAGAGTTGCAATCACTTTAGTCCAACCATGCATCCAATGTGAATTTAAATTCCCATCATCTCCACCTGCAGAAATTTAAATAATTGGATTTTAGGTTCTCACAGCAGTGTCTATGATGAATGCTATCTTTGGGAATGTGAGGTCATGCAGTCTGGTAGAAGTTCACTGATATATTGGAACATACTACTCTGGCTTGGCTCACGCCTCGACCCTGAAATATCAGTGAACTACCAAACCAGATAGGGACATATTATTCAAATAAATTAAAATCCTTCAGTACTGATTAGTGAAGATTAATTTTAAAATTCCTAAAATAATTATAAGCAAACACACTTAATATGACTCACAAATTCAACACTGGAAGCAGCAGAGCATCATGAATTCAAGGCCTTTGTACAAAGACCCTGTAATTTAGTGGAAAAAAGGTTAAGAGAAAAGAGAGAAGAGAATTCTAAAGCTCTGTAGGGTTTGTTAACAGAAAAACAGTCCCATTCAGGGAACCTTAGGAACTAAGCTAAGTGGAAGAAATTCTTGCACGCTGTTTGGCAATTAAATTAAAACAATCATATCGATGCAAGTTACAGTAAGACATTAACAAAAATTAATGCTGTAAGTCTCTGTGCTGGCAACTGACATAAGAAATACCTAGAACTTTTGTCAGAGGGGAGACAACTGTCTCTAGAAGGCGAGTGGTTTTGGCTAGGACTAACTCCCATAGTCTGTGAGTCTCACTTTCACAACACTTGAACTCTGCTACAATAGCGCAGAACTGCTCAAAGTTGACGTTCAGCTGTTCCAAGGGAATATCCTTCACTTCTCGACCCAATACACCTGAAACAATAGAACAGATATGGAGGGGCAGATCAGACACACATCACTTACGCTTGCAAAAGCACAGCGAAAGTAAGAACATGAACAATAAACAGAACAATACTGTCTCCGCCAGGATGAAAGTAAGGACATGAACATTAAATGAAACAATACTGTCTCTATTTGGATAATAAGACAGATGCCAGGACTTTTAACATCTCGTTTTTATTAAACAAAACAAGGTGAAACAAATATTTATTTGCACAGAGTGTGTGAATTTGGCCCTCTAAATTTGGTTACAGTTCAATGTCTACACCTCCTCTCCGGATGGTATTCCGATTTCTGCTAGATTTGTTCTAACATTTTCTGAGTAACACATTCAACTGCCTACGAGGGACAGTCAGTAAATAGGTCTACAAATGGAAGTAAAACAGCTGTAATGGACGTAATTGGTCTTCTGTGTGTATCACTAGGTAGCAGCACAGTCCAGCCTCATGACAGTCCAGGTAGTGGACACACATGTTCAGAGGCTGGTTTCCCGTGACCATGCTTGAGGGTGTACTACCGAAGAGCAGTGTTCTGTTGTGCAGTTTCTGTTGGGAAAAGGATGAAATGCAAAGGATACTGATAAAGAAATGTTACCTGTTTACAGTGGGAAGTGTTTGTCGTGTAAAGTAGTTCACAAGTGGGTCGAGAAGTTCTCTCCAGATGTTCAAGAGCCACTGATGATGAAGAGATCAAAATGGAGGTGTGAAAGTGGCTGTCAAAAGACTTTATGCTGTGGGTTTTGATGCACTGGTAAAGCAATGGAGCAAGCGTATCAATGTTGGTGGAGGATATGTCAAGAAATAAATGTTTTTTACAGGTTTGAATATCACATTTCATGTTTTATATCCATCTGTGACCTATTTACTTACTCTTCAGCATAATTCCGGCTTTCAGGGCTTCCAAACTGTTCACTCTTTTCTGAACAGGCACAATCCTTGAATAACCTCAAAGTAAAACTCCAAACAGGGGTAAAGCAGGAGACCCTGGTGGCCAAGAAACTGCTTCCCTAAACACACTGTCCAAAAGCTTGTTCTAGCTTCATTAATATTGTGACATGTTGCGCAAAGGAGAACTCCCCCCCACCAGCAGTGACGCGGCGGGTGAGTCAGCGCTCCCCTCCCACCCCTCCGCGGTGACATAACACGCAACGCTACGTACCCGTAATCAACTTCCTACTGTGACGTGGAACGCAACAGGCACCACGGTGGCTATATAATGAAACTGCACAGCAGCTACGAGTTAGTTGTAACCTGGCCATCGCCGAAGACAGTTCCGAGTTATAAAGTAACAGTCGCCGAGTCGAGTTATAAAGTAACAGTCGCCGAGCGTGTTATCAACAGTTCTCCAGTCAGCCGACTACAAGTTGGAGTATAGCAGCCGTCGCGGAAAGAAGAACTGGACGTGCGTGTGATTGTGTAATTGGGAGTGTGTGATACAGTGATACATAGCTCCCCTACTGTAAACGTGTAGATTACTGAACACGGAGTGAACTGATTTGCGCATAGGGTTATAAATCGTGAAACCCCGCAACAGTGTTAACAGATTAATGCGATTAGGGTTATAAAGTGTGAAACCCCGCAACTGTGTGATAAGTAATTGTAGCCGTTACTTGTAGATTGTTGAATAAACCAATTAACGATCTCTACGGCGTATTCAGTAACGAAACACGTTACACGGGTGTCAGAAGTGGGATCAGTGTCCAAACACGTTACAATATTATAAGGGTGCATCATTTAACTGGAAAATGGGGACACAACCATCTCAAGTTTGGGGCCTAACACAGTTCTCCAGCATACCCTAGACAGCATTACACATGTTACAGTTACGTGTGGTGATGGCAGGAGTGACAAGAGAAAAGGTACTCCTTGAAGAGGTGGCAAAAATATGCAGCTGAAATTGTTACTACATGCCCAGAAGTTAAAAAGTTATTTATGTTTAAAAGTAGAGGATTGCTTTTGTCCATTCCATTATGATGTAAGTAGAAAATTCTGTAAAGTTTCCCTTACTTATCACTGTCATACATTGGGTTCCTTATATAATATTAAACTTTTAAAAACAGAAATTCCTCTGAATTATACATAAAAAATTATACATATCCACCAAAAAAAAAACTGAGTGGTTAATGCTCAGGGTTACCAGACAATGGACAAGTCCAAAAACACAATAATTCTGAGTGTTACAAACACCATTGGTCAGAACCATTTAGAATCTAATTTGATTTGTTTCATTCTGGTCCGTCACACTAACAATATTACAAATGATAAAACAATTCTGTCCAGTGCGACTGTTGAAGCCTTTACTACATCACTTCTTAGTACCCTAACATGTTTCGGTCCCTATAGACCATCATCAGAGGGAACATCAATACTTTTAGAAACTACTATTACATTGGGTGTTTTAATTTTTAAAATACATAAATATACAATATTTGTAATATACACTTCATACAAAATCCAAATTTCTTACAACTACAGCAAATGTCCTTGATGCATTAAAGTTTTTTAAAAACTTTTTTTATTTAAGTTAAAATTCTTTAACCGAATAGGTTCGTGTCCCTTGTCCTTTCGTTTTTCTTGATGGGGCCGGGCTTGTGCCACCTGTCTTTCTTGGGAAGGTAGTTCTTGTCGTCCTATGTTTGTTTATTTATGTATTTTAAAAATCAAAACACCCACTGTAATAGTAGTTTCTAAAAGTATTGATGCTCCCTCTGACAGTCTATAGGGACCGAAACATGTTAGGGTACTAAGAAGTGATGTAAAAGCTTCAACAGTCACACTGGATGGAATTGTTTTATCGTCTGTAATTTAGAATCTACTTCGTTAATACTGTTTAAGAAAAATAATCCCTGGTTATCATGTGAACCATACAATACATGCCAATACACTATGTGAGCAGAATGCAGAGTTTTGGTATACAAGGTGTGGCAATAAAGAACCCGGATTACTTTTATGACTCATTTCCGGCCACGTCATTGACGAAGAGGAGGGTAGGGCATTGACCCTTGGACTTCCCTCTACCGTCACACAAAGTTTCATTCACGTGCATCGGTTAGTCTGGCCGCGACCATTGTTAGAAGCGGATCGTGTTTCTGAGCTCCGTCGGAATAATGCTGAGTGCTAATGCAGAACAACGTGCTAACATCAAATTCCTCACAAAACTTGGAAAATCTGCCACTGAAACTTACAATTTGTTGACAGAAGTATATGGTGATCA